ATTCAAAGCGCGGAGGACGCCTTCCTTAGAGGATCCCTTAAGAAGACATGGTCTCTTACGCATAACAAGCTTACATATTACTGGGGACAGGCAGGGGGCGGTTAGGCTGTGGGCAATGCATAAGCAAAAGAACAAAATCACTTCAGGCAGTACAAAGTTCTATGCCGAAGATGGAGCAGGGTGATATGATAGAGTAAATGGATGTCAGAGCGTTACTTGGACCAGGTGGTCAGAGTGGGGCTGACACCTGTGGGTCCTAAGCGCTATCTCAGTGCAGGAAGAGCCAGAGCACACGGCTGCCTTCCCTGACCAATCCCTACCATTTCTGAGGGACCGTAGCACCTCTCTGCTGCCCACAATCCATTCATTTTAGAGATGGGAAAATGCAGGCTCAGAAATGACAAGGACACATGGCACAGAGGCCCCACTGTGTGTTCTTTCCTCTCCACCCCATGGTTCCATCTTCTTGGGTGTTATACTTGAAGTTCAGTCAGAATGACCTGCTTACCTGCTTATTACTATCGGTGCTTGGAAAATCTTTCAGACAAATTTCTATTCATTAGATGTTGATTATGTCTAGTCTTTTTGTTTCATTTCCCTCCAGTGGAAATGCAGACCTATGAGAGAAGGATTCAGGTATGTTCATACCCCCACCCCCAACACTTTCTTTCTTTCTTTGAAATTTGGTTAATAGTGGAGAGTAAACTTCTGATACTCTCTCTCCCTTAGCCTAATGCTTCCAGTATTTTCAAGATCTTCACATTTTTAAAGAGCACAGGAAGTACAAGACATGGAAACAACCTAAGTCCATCAGTGGATGAGTGGATAAAGAAAAAGTGTACACATTATATACATATACAGGATATATAATATATATATATGATATGTACACAGACATACACAATGGAATATCATTAAGCCATTAAAAAGAAGGACATCCTGCCATTAGCAACAACAGAGATGGACCTTGAGAGTATTTTCTAGGTGAAATAAGTCAGAGATAGATAAACAAATACCATGTGATCTCACTTACATGCAGAATCTAAAAAACTTGAACCTACAAATACAGAGAAGAGATGGGTGGTTATCAGAACAGAGGGGGTGGCTAGGAGTATGAGAAATGGGTGAAGGGGATCAAAAGGGACAAATTCCTAGTTATAAGATGACTAAGTTCTGGGGATGTAATGTACAGCATGGTGGCCATAATTAACAATACTGTATTGTATTTTTGAAAGTTGTGGAGATCTTACAAGGAAAAAATTTTACAACTATGTGATGATGAATGTTGAATAAACTTATTGTTGTAATCATATGTTGTAATGCATATGTCAAATCATTACACTGTATACCTAAAATGAATATTTTATATATATATATATATATATATATATATATATATATATCATATCTCAGTAAAACTAGGGAAAATATATCACAAAAAGGAAAACAAGAACGTAAACTCTAGAGGAGAGGCAAAGGGAGTGGAAGAACTAGCTCTGCCACCTCCTAACATGTGACTCTGGGTGAATTACTTCACTGAATCTGTTTCCTCATCTGTAAAATGGGGATTACAATGCCCACCTATGATTAAATCATATACTTTTTTTTTTTAAAGATTTTATTTATTTATTTGACAGAGATCACAGGTAGGCAGAGGCAGACAGAGAGAGAGGGGGAGAAGCAGGCTCCCTGCTGAGCAGAGAGCCCGATGTGGGGCTCGATCCCAGGACCCTGAGATCATGACCTGAGCCGAAGGCAGAGGCTTTAACCCACTGAGCCACCTAGGCGCCCCAAATCATAATACTTTTTAAAAAAGATTTTATTATTTATTTGAGAGAGAGAGCATGAATGGGAGAAGGGGAAAGGGGAAGAGATAGGGACAAGCAGTCTCTGCTGTGAGCACGGATCCCCACCATAGGGCTTGATCCCACAACTGAGATCAGGACCTGAGATGAAACCAAGAATTGGATGCTTAAACAACTGAGCCATCCAGGTGCCCCTTGACTCATAATACTTAACATGCTTGACACAAACTAGCCACTCAAGACCAACACACACACATATACATCCTTATGAAGCAGATACTGCTATTTTCCCATTTGATGGACGAGGAAAGGAAAACACTGAGGGATTTTTATAACCTGCTCAGGGTCACTCAGGTGGTACATGAAAGAGGTGTGATTATGTCAGGATGGAATGTGCTTATTACAGTGTGTGACAGATAGTAAACATTCAATAAAGTGCAGATATTTTTGTAATCACTTTAAAGCATTTATGACTCTGCTCTGTCAGCAGTGTGTCCTGTAAATGTCAAGGGGTGATGTATCTTTCTGGAAAAATGACTAATGCTCCACCATTTCAAAGGTTTCCACTCTTTAGCGCATTTCCCAATAGCTGAACTGTCGTTTTATCATCATAGCTTAGGAGCCAAAGTGAGAATATGAATTTACATCTTGGAATTGTTTATATTCTCTCTCTTAAAATCTGGACTTTTGGAAACGCAATCATTTTTATTTTAATAAAACTGCTTTATAACTTGCTTGCCCTCTAAATTCCCTTTGCTCTTTGGGGAAGGCTGCTGACAGGCAGTGGGGTTTTGTTTTAGTCCCTTTGCTGGGATTGTAATTAACTGCCACGGAGAGGGAGATGGGGGGCGGGGTGAAGACAGAACAGAGAAGGCTAAAGACAGTGCTTTCATGCATGAGGCTGACTTTTCCGGCTCTTGTCTGAGGAAGGGGAGATTATGCTTGACCTGCTGACTTAGAGACTAGGCCCTGGATAAACAGGGAGCCCTGTCCATGCTCAAGAGTCACCCCTTTTAAAAGTGTTTAATGTGTGGAAAATTGGCAGTGTAGGGTCTGCAGGACCTCTGCCTTTCTGAAACCTCTTGAGTTTGCTCTCTTTAAATCATCATCAGTTTATAGTTACCAGTCTCCAGACCAACAGGCTTCTCCCTATGAATGTAGTTTGTCATCATGTCGTTACTACAATTAAAGGAGTCTGCCTCCCGTGAAATGTTACGTTGCCCCAGGGAAAGTTAAAACCAATGAAATGTTTTTAGACAGTGATACCTGGATGGAATCTTAAGAGTGCTGTTTGTCAATGCGAAGGCAGAGAACCACCTCTGTGGGGACTGCCTGGACCGTCTGCTAGAATTCCAAGTCCTGGCTCTCACTGTGCCTGCTTTAGCAAAATCCACAGACTGTGGGCCCAAAGGTCTCAATTTTTAATAAGTTCCCCCAGGTTATTCTAACGCACAGTGAGGTTTGAGAGATACAGATATGGAGAAAGAGATTCAGTCATCTGAATTACAAATCGAGATACTGAGACACTTAAATTTGTCCCCGAGGAGGGATAAACACAATGCCCTGGTCTTCTGACTCTCAAACAAATATTTTTATTTTGTTTTGTTCTGTTTGTCTGCTTTTATGATATCATATTCCTTTTAGCTTCACGGTAAAAGACTTCCTCCATAAATTTTACACTGGGGTCTGGTTATCCAAGGTTTTTAAGGCTTAGCTGAGAGGCAAGGGGTTCCGGCAGATCCAAGCTTTATTATTGCTGAACCCAGGAGAAATAGATTTTTAGGAAAATAGATGATTAAGATTTAATGGTAATGTCAAGGAAGAAGATACAGATTTTAAAAAAAATGATAGGATATCAGTTTTTGATCAATAGCTTGATCAGGAACATTTATTTTTGTTACTATACAAAGAGTTATCTAAATAGGGCAACTTTGTGCTGACACGGCCGTCTCTGGTTTGCAAGGAGCGGAAATGTCTTAACGTGTGTCAGGTATTTGAAAATGCTTTCCTATTCATGATCCCCTATTTGATATCCACATCACTCTGGAGAAGTAAGTGTTAGCATATCCAACTATGAGATGAGATTCAGAGAGGTAAAGAGACTTCCCTAAGCCTAATTAGTAACTGATTCACATGCAGAGCATATTAGAAAATTTTACCACAAATAACTGTTTAGGAGTTTACCATGTACCAGGAATCTCTCTGAGCACTTGATAGGAATTTTCTCATTTAATCATCACAATGGCTTTTTATACTTGTCTAATTTGACCCTCATCACAGTAACAAGTTACTGGTGAAGAAGCTAAGGTATAAGGAAATGAATCACTTTTCATTCATTCCTCTGCTCATTCAACAAACCCGTGATAAGCATCTCAGTTCTAGACATTTATTTAAGCCGTAGGGATATAGAGGTCTGGTAAGACTATGCTTTCATGGAGATGACACTGGACAATAGAAATAAGCACTAAACAAGAAAATGGATAAATACATAAATCACTATGAAATGAATCAAAATAGACTGTGGGAGTAACTGGACATGGCAAGTATTATGTCTTGGACACTGGGGCAGATGAAAGGTACTGGAGCTGACACCCGAAAAAGGTATACGGCTGCCTGGGGAAAGGGGGTATAGCCCCTAAATGTGATCAGCCTAACTTTTAATCCAGCGAAGAGGATGGAACAGAGTCATCTGGGGGCGAGGAGGGGGAAGCAGTGGGAGAGGAGTCAAAGAGAAGTGGAAGAAACATCCTGTAATAGTAGGGAAAATCCTTTGACTTTGAGAAAGGTAGAGAGCCACAGACGGTTTTAAGCAGGGCAGTGACCTGAAGTGATGTACTTTAGAAAGCTTGGTCTGTACCAAAGCGGGGAGATCCCATTCAGGGCACAGTGGAACGTGGCCAGGGTCATACAAGTGATGGGGAGGTAGTGGGGTTGCAGGTAGTCTCAATATTTAGATCTGGTTTTCTGAGCCAGGCTTCCTAAGGAGGCAGACATCAGTCTTGTACCAGCCTGCTATCCTCACCTTCTATGAATCCTGTGCTCAAGGCGCTCCTGCCACACACAAGAGAATCTCCATAAGCACAGGGGTTGTTGCTCTCCCCAGCAACCAGCAGAGAGGAGCCACTGGGGCAGGGCAGCAGGCAGAGCCGGGCGAGAGCCCTTCTCAGGGCTGTGACCCTACGTGGCCTCACTCACCTTGGACTTCTCTTGATGCAGCTCTATCTGGATATCTGTGAGCTTGGTCCTGAGGTCTTCATTGGCAGCTTGAAGGGCGACGATGAGCGCTTCGGGCTTCTCGCCCTTATTTCGCCCTTTCTTAGACATTGTTCCTTTCTGAAGGGAGTCTTGTTTGTGAATGCCTTTCAAACAGGTGCTGCCATGTTACTGCTTTGTATCGTGGGTGCGATGTTTTCAGCATCTACTGCGTGGTGCTCCTTGGTAAGGTCTCCTCAGGTGCTGCCCTGGAAGCCCTGGGAAGAGGCAGAGATGGTGATTATGGCTGTGGCAGGGACCTGTGCTAAGGGCCAGGCAGGGTCTCTCAGCCTGAAGTACTTGTATAATCCTGCTCCTGAGGGCTTCTGCCCCCAGATCCTCTCATCCACTAGGCACATGAATTTAGAGCCATCTTTCAAAAGATGTGGACTGGTCCTATCAATGCCCTGCTCAAAATCCTCCAAAGACCTGTAACTATTTGAATATATTTTTCACATCTTGGAGTGCATTTTAGGTCTAAACCTGCCTATTCCCCTAGCTTATCTCCTCCATTTCACTCACTTACTCTCCAGCCCTAAGAAATCCCCTTTATGGGGTGCTTGGGGTAGCTAAGTCAGTTAAGCATATGACTCTTGATTTCCACTCAGGTCATGATCTCAGAGTTGTAAGGTTGAGCCCCACCACCACATCAGGTTCCATGCCCAGTGTGGAGATTCTTTTCTCCCTCTCCCTTCAGTTCTCTTTCTAAAAGGGGGGGGGGGGAAAGCCCTTTATTTATTTATTTATTTATTTATTTATTTATTTATTTATTTATTTATTTTTAAAGTAGGCTTCATGCTCAGTGTGGAGCCCAATGTGGGGGTTGAACTCATGGCCTGAGATCAAGAGTCGGTGGCTTAACTGACTGAGCCACCAAGGCACCCCGGATATGCTCTTTCATTTTGTGATTCCTGCTCCCTTCCCATAAAGACTTTCCCCACCCTGTTCATTTCTCTCCATGTTCTGCCCAGCCTCCTCACGAGTGCTCCCTTGTGTTCTCATTCCCAGACCCTCACACACATACATGTTAGTTTGGCTAACTTTTATGACCTTTCAGGTCTCAGCTTCCATATCAGTTCCTCCTGGAAGAACCTCTAGATTATTACATGCCCTCATTATTTAATGGTGGTCACACCTCCATGAATCTGTAAACTTTGTGAGGGCAGGAATACATTATTCCTATTTATAACTTGCTTCTCAGACTCCATCTTAAGACCTGCGACATACCAGGTACTTAACTGGTATTTGTGAAAGGAAGTCAACTATGTGATGACTACGTGTTGCCCTATAGAAAGTCCACAGTTTAAGAAAATCCCATATACAAAGAGCTAGAATTATACAATGGATAAACTATGGGGGGGGATTAATAGTACTGCGTTAACTGAGTGACTCATTTACTCATTCAGTCAATATTGTTAGAGTTCTGTCTTTATGCTGTGGGAGGTACACTATGTTGAAATTGAAAATAAGAGTCCCGAGACAATAAATAAATAAATAAATAAAACCTTTATGCCTCTATCTACCTATCTTTTTTTTGAAAGATTTTATTTATTTATTTGACAGAGAGAGAGCTCCCAAGTAGGCAGAGAGGCAGAGAGAGAGGGGGAAGCAGGCTCCCCGTGGAGCAGAGAGCCCGATGCGAGACTCGATCCCAGGACCCTGAGATCATGACCTGAGCCGAAGGCAGAGGCTTAACCCACTGAGCCACCCAGGTGCCCCTCTATCTACCTATCTTCATCGTTATCATTATCATCACCATCACCTATCTGATAACTGCCTTTAAAAAAATAAATACTACTTGTTTCAGAGTAGACAAGGACTCCTCCCTCCAATGCGGTGACTAAGGAATCTCCTTGAAGACGGTGGCATTGCCTGGAACTTGAGGAGTAGGATGTTAACAGATGTAGAAACAGATGAGGCATCCTGAGTGAACGAAATGCAGGTGCTGAGATACAGGGATTTTGTGGGGAAAGAGGAGGCCTGATCAATTAACCCAGAATATAGTTGATGGGCACTAATGCTGGAAAGGTTGCCTGGAAATGACAGATTGCGGAAGACCTGGGACACAAACCTTAAGATTTTGGAATCCCCGCCCCACCCCACCCCCCGTAAGCAGTGGGTAAGCTGCTGAAGTTCTTGGCAGGTGGATACCCTAACAGGGAAATGCTTTGGTGTGATTATTCTGGTGGCAGAGTGGGGAGAAACTGGGGACACGGAAACTGCATAGAAGGCTACTGAACTTGCCAAGGTGAAAGATGATGCAGTCTTAAACAGAACAGTACCAATAAGAGAGAGAGAAAAAAAAGAGGGATGTGTCTTAATTTACAAATTCTTAAATGTGGGGCGCCTGGGTCACTCAGTGGGTTAAGCCTCTGCTTTCGGCTCAGGTCATGATCTCAGGGTCCCAGGATTGAGTCCCGCGTCGGGCTCTCTGCTCAGCGGGAACCCTGCTTCCTCCTCTCTTTCCGCCTGCCTCTCTGCCTACTTGTGATCTCTCTGTCAGATAAATAAATAAAATCTTAAAAAAAAAAAAAACAAATTCTTAAATGCTTCACAGGAACGAGGAGGTCAGAAAAATATGGATACTAAACTGTTAAGGTCAATGTGAAAAACATGACAAGATACTAGAGAAAGTTTCTCACACAACCTTTTAGAAAATTGGGTACTGTGTACAGGGAGGTGCTTCAGTCCAAAACTAAGGGGAATTCCTACTGGTCACCCATATGCTCCAGCAGCTGCTGTTCTCTCAAGCCCCCTGGTATTCAGCCTGGAGGACCATGCTGGGATCCTGGGCTTTGTGCCATCCCCACATGAGCACCGGGGCCATGCCCTTTGCAGTGTGACCCTAGGGGAAGGGATAGGAAGAGGTTAGAAGGTAAGGAGGACCAGTCTGTCTCCAGAAGTCATGGAACTGTCCACCATATTCTACCTTAAGCTGGATGTTGGAGTCGTTCTTCATGCATATTTTACAAATGTTACCAGATCACTGAAGTACATAGCTGGGAGATGTCGAAGGGGCTACCATTCTTTGTTTCTAGAACTGAAATGAATTAACAAGGATTTATCAGATTTTTATGACCAATACCACTAGGCACAAAGATAAATGAGACACTGTTTAATTTCAAGCAGATGCTAGGGGAGTGAACTCACATGTTTTTGTTTAACAGGTTTCTCTTCCTCTTGCTGATCTCTAAATGTTGCTGGTCCCCTGGGCTCCCCAAAGCTATCTACACTGGCTCCACTTAGAGGTTTATGACTCCCCATTTTATATCCATAGACCCGACCATTCCCCAAACCGCGACTCAAATATTCAACATCTTACTTACCACATCTATTTGGATATCTGACTGGTGTATCAAACATAACCTAACATGGATGTCTTTATTACTAGGCCGTCATAGCCTCATTCTCTCCAGGTTTTCTTCCCTTATCAGTTAATGCACCATCATGGGCCCAGTTGTTCCAGATCTAAGCTTAAAAGCCCTCCTTTCAGGGCACCTGGATGGCTCAGTGGGTTAAGCCTCTGCCTTGGGCTCAGGTCATGATCTCAGGGTCCTTGGATGGAGCCCCACATAGGGTTCTCTGCTCAACAGGGAGCCTGCTTCCGCCTCTCTGCCTGCCTCTCTGCCTGCTTGTGATCTCTCTCTCTCTGTCAAATAAATAAATAAAATCTTAAAAAAAAAAAAAAAAAGAAGAAGAAGAAGCTCTGCTTTCTTATTTCCATCATTCCTCTTCTCTAGTCCACTAGGGGTCCTGTTTGTTTTTCCTATAAAATATAATTCCCGGGGCGCTTGGGTGACTCAGTGGGTTAAAGCCTCTGCCTTCGGCTCAGGTCATGATCCCAGGGTCCCAGGATCAAGCCCCGCATCAGGCTCTCTGCTCAGCGGGGAGCCTGCTTCCTCTTCCTCCTCTCTCTGCCTGCCTCTCTGCCTACTTGTGATCTTTGTCTGTCAAATAAATAAATAAAATCTTTTTAAAAAAATATAATTCCCGGGCGCCCGAGTGGCTCAGTGGGTTGGGCTGCTGCCTTCGGCTCAGGTCATGATCTCAGGGTCCTGGGATCGAGTCCCGCATCGGGTTCTCTGCTCAGCAGGGAGCCTGCTTCCCTCCCTCTCTCTCTGCCTGCCTCTGTCTACTTGTGATCTCTCTCTGTCAAATAAATAAATAAAATCTTTAAAATATATATATATAATTCCCTTTGGTCAACTTCTCTCAACCCCTACAGTGCTTTCAGAACATAGAGAAAGGAGGAATTTGAGAAAAACTTCAGTCACTTCATAGCTTTGTGGTCTTCCTGGATAAGAAAGGGCTTTTCTGATTAGAGATACAGGAATGGCAGAGAAAGAGACTGAGAAGTACTGGAAGTCACAAATTTGCCAGATGCATTTAGAGAAGGTTGGTAACAGGGAGAAGACAAACTGGATTAGATTGCATAGGTCCCTGCATGACTGATGGTTAGATTTCATTGATAATGATTAGATTTCATTATGTAGAAAGGAAGCATTTGAACATAAGTGTAATGACAAGAGCTCAGAGTGACTGCTTTGAGCTTGACATTGGACTAAGCACACTTGACATACTGCTCTCATTTCAAGCTCCCTAAAATTAGGGGGGAACGAGTCACAGAAAGATGAAGTAACTTGCCTAAAATGACAGGGTCATAGTCAATGAGGCCTTCATGCCAGACTGGGATCCAGGCTGTGATGCCCAGGTTTGCACTGTCCCACGTTTGCATTTCAGAGAGGTAGCTTAGGCAATGTGATGGACGGTGAGTTCCCAGGGAGAGTCATATATCCCAGGGAGAATATGGTAGACAGAAAGCAGGAAATCAGGCTTCTTCATTAGTCCAGGTGGGCAGAATACAACACTGAAGCTACCCATGGCCAGAGGGATGAAAAAGAACGTGGCAACTCTGACACACGGAGACTTTGACTGAATCATGTCTTCTTTTTAAACATCATTACTGGCTTGAACATTCTTCTCTGCCATGGTAAATAATGAGTACCAGCTTTCTTGCTGGTATTCCTTGCGGCAAAAATGTGCAGTGCCATAGTCATATTTTACATTTTAATCTGTAATCCTTTCTCCAAAAATATAATACTATGTGCCTGACTTCATGTATTTTTTTGTCTGGGAATTATTTTTAACTTAGTCACATAAGGGCTAGGGAAAAGAAGAGGGTTAAAAAACTAGAAACATGTTCAAGACAGAAAAAAAA